AAAGTATTTGGCTCTTCCTAAACCATTATTGGCATGGGGTACCTGTCCTTAATCAGATTTTCATTGAGTTTCCTATAATCGACTACCATTCTCCATTTTCTCTGCCCTGACGCGTCCTTCTTTTTGGCCACCAGCCACACTGGGGCACTCCATGGGGAGTGACTGTGTCTAATGATCTTTTGTTCCAGCAAGTTTTCTATTTGTCTTTTCACCTCCTGTCTCTCCGTGAATGCGTATCTATATGGCCTTGAGTACACCGGGATATCGTCCGTGGTCCTCACCTGATGTTTGACGACGTTTGTGAACGACAAGTCCTCTCCCTCCATATAAAATGCCGATGGGTATTTTTTACATAGTCTTTTTAATTCAGTGATTTCTTCCTCATTCAAATGATCTGTTCTTATCTTATGAAACGGAATTCCTTTATTCCCTATATCTTTTCTGCTTTCTATGTAATTTATTTCTATATGCTCTTCAGCTTTGAATTCCGAAACCACTAGTGGTTCCTCCAGAAACAATTCCTGGTCCTCTTCCGAATAGTTGGTTATTTCCACCAGACTCTGTCCTGCTGTTGCCTTATACAGGCCTTCTGATATTTCCATATTAGGTTTTACCTTCGTTTTGTTAATTATGAACTCCCCATCCTGTAACTGTACCGGCACCTGTATAACCCTTTTTGTGCCCGCTTCTACCGTATATACCTCCGTTGCTCTGTATTGCGTCTGCCATATCTGTGTTTCTGTCGTCGATGTACGCAGTTGTCGTTTGTCTACATCGATTACTGCTCCTATTTGTTGCAATATGTCTATTCCTATCAGTCTATCGAAAAACTGATGAAACTTAAAGAGGAGCAACCTCATCTTTCCTACTCCTCCCAGCTCTCTGAACATGGCTAAGACTGTTTCCTTATGTACTTCGTGGGATCGTACGATTGTTTGTATTTTTATTGTTTCTTTTAATCTTCTAATGTGTTCTGCGGGTATTAATTCCGGTCTTATGCATGAAAATGTGGATCCTGTGTCTATAAGCATTTTAATATTTTTGTCTGCCGCTAGCCTAACCACTATATGGGGTAGGGTCGATTGATCTTTCTTTCCCCCTAAGTACCCTGTGCTTTGTTCGAGGCTGTCTGAAGAAAATTTCCGTCCTCTTCCTGAATATTGTATAGCTGACCAACTGCAGCTGCTTGTCCGCCAACTCTAGTTGAGGTACTAGGCGTCTGCTGTGCGGCATACGACTGTCTGGAATTATTCGAGTTATATGACTGCCCTGTGCTATTTATCATTCTAGACATCCTCGATTGTCCACTTCTCCCTGCGTCTTGTGGTGCCTGAATCGCTAATTGCTCTTGGCGATTGTTCTGGCCCCAACGCCTTCCATTGTTTTGTTGATCATAGCCCCATCTGGGGTTCCTATTCTGCTGGTTTCGATATGGGCCCCTAGTGTACCCTGCTTGTTCGTTCTGCATAAAGGGAGTTCCCCTGAAGGGGTTTCCTCCCATTGGGTAGACGAACCCAAAACCTGGCCATCCACTCCCATCAGTCATTGGGAACGGCATACCGAACGATGATTGTCCGTTCCCTCCCCATTGGTACTGTGGCCAGCTTGGCGTTTCCCGGTGCGCCCCTGGCGTTTGAGTTTCCTTCCTGTCGTGCTCTTGCGCCAGAGGTTCTTTAGTTTCCTTAATCTGGCTCTATGTCATCGGGTGCTTTTTTACCTCCTGTTCCGGCTCGTCTAGAGTATAGACATTCTTCTCTCTACAGGCTACCTCGTATGCCTTTGAAATGTCATCTACATGGATATTCCTAATTGGGTGCCCTATCGGCCCTTTTATTGCCGAAAGGAAAGCGTTTAGTGCTATGTCTTCGTACCACTTGGTTCTTTCCTTCCTTAGCAACGAGTTCGGTTCTTTCACCTTACCCAAGCTGACGAGGGCCTTTCTTAACTCCAACACCTTTTGATATAGTGGCTCTAAATCCAACTTTTTCTCCTTTATATGTGTAAGCTCCATGATTAAATCCTGCTCGGATCTTTTATCTCTAAAATGAGACACCAATGCCTTCTTAATGTTGTCCCAATTCAAATCTACCTAATTCAAATCCAATGCCCTATCTGCCGCTCCTATTACCTTGCTTCTTATAGCCCTAAGGGCTATAACCCCTACCGATGACCTCTCCTCTCCTTTTATAAGGCCTAATATCTGTTGTACCGCTGATATAAACCCATGTAACTTCCCTACACCTCCTTCATACTTTGGTATAATCTCCGACTAACTCTATGACTCGAATCGCTTCGAGTAATTTTGTGTTGCTGGGTGGGGTCATTTCTAATTGTCCCTGGTTCTCGTCACTAGCTGCTGAAGCCTCCGTGTCTAACGGAATAACCCTTTGGCTACTGCTTTCCTTTGACATATAGTCTATTTCGATTTTTTTTTTCTTATTTTACGTACTTTATAGTGTTTGTGTGTATGGTGATTTGTCTAAGGTGTGTATCGTATCTTAATTATAATGTGTACTTGTGTAATTCTATAGTGTGTGTTACTTAAGTGTTTATACTACATCAAGTTTGTCCTTGTGTGTTGAATAAAATGAGTATCTTTTCGATCGTAGTTTTCTAATAATATGGTGTGCCGTGAAATGGTTTATTCTTCGTTTATAGTTATTCAATCGCCTTATATGCGTATTTTTATTTACTTTGTGGCTTTACCTTACACGCTGAAGCTAGTCGCAATACTGTGCGTTACAGTATTCGTAACCAATTGCGGACAGTCGTGTCTCCCTGGTAGCGTTTCCTTGTTCCATCTCCCTGTCACCCCTATGCTAGGCATCCGCACTGTGCGTTACAGTACTTTGCCCTACGAATGTGAGTGACTGGAACTTGTAATTGACCCTTCGCTTTCTCCTCTTTGTCGCCCCTATGCTAGGCGTCCGCACTGTGCGTTACAGCACTTTGCCCTACGCATGTGAGTGACTGGAACTTGTAATTGACCCTTCGCTTTCTCCTCTTTGTCGCCCCTATGCTAGGCGTCCGCACTGTGCGTTACAGTACTTTGCCCTACGCATGTGAGTGACTTGGATTGCGTATCTTTTAATTTGTATCGCCTCCTTCGCGGAGTCTTGCCCATCACCATTTTCGGTGTTTTATTCTTTGTCTTTTGTGCCCTTTATCTTTTGTGTGTGTGTGTGTGTGGTTTCTCCTCTTGGACCGTTCGATGCTCGACTCGACCCGACGGAGTGTTAGCGTTGCCTCCGTCGAACCAAACCGTCGCTGCTGTAGTCCCCGCCAACGGCCCGATCGTCGGCACAATTACTCGTACGCTCGACTCTATGATCGTATCGGCCCCTCGGCCTGACGTCGAACCGACAGCAACTGCCCGACTCCGAGTCGAACCGCATCCGCTCGAACCGCATCCGCTCGAACCGCACCCGGTCGAACCGCAGCCGATCGAACCGCAACGATCGAACCACCGCCGCTCGAACCGCGCACGATCGAACCGCTCCCGCTCGAGCCGCCGTCCACCGTTCGACATTTTTCCACGACAATTTTGCACTCTTTTCTCCTCACTCCCTTCTGACAATTTATTTGCAATAATTATGCTCGTTTTGGTCCGAATAACTCGAATCTCCACTGCCCTGGCCAACGTGCCATACTATCTCTCTTTTAATGATTGCCCATTTCACTGCTCACCATTGTATTCCCGTACTTTTCGTTCTCACAATTTGAGGTTTTATTACATTTTATTTCTTTATTTTTTTGTTTTCTCCTCCATTTCACGTCACTCTTCTCACACGTACATATCTTCGGATATCTTTCCTTACAGGATTGTTAGTGTCGCTATTTTCCAATACATCGCTTGCGTGGTTCTCTCTCGCTGTCTCGGTCCTCTAGGGTCCTACTTCCTCCAGATTTCCGTCCTTTAACGAGAGTGTCCGACTGCGCCAGTTATGATCTTTGGTGAATCGGTGAAGATTCTTGGGGAGATTTGTCGTATGAGGTGGTTTGCGGAATTAAGTACACCCGGAGTGGTTGAGTTTCAATTGTATTCTGATTCTATATTTCGTTTTTAGGTTTTCAACTTAATTAAAATTTGCTGGCCTTGCTCTTTTGGCCGGCAGAGAATCTGCTTACTCTCCGTTCCTCAATCGGAACGGATGTTTGGTTGCTGAGGTCTGATATTTGTTTGTGTAAGTTGAGCCGGTGCAACTTTGTTGCGAGTCGACGTTGTTGACGTTTGGCCTGCTATACTAGTCGAAGTGGTTTCGGCGGGGCGAGGGTGAGGGTAGGTGCTGAGGTGGTAACTCGCGCCTCAAAATCAAACATCCGCATTAATTTCATGCTCGATCTCCTCACCTCACCATCAGCCTATTGCCAGTATACCAAACAATTACGTGTTGCTAGCTACAGCCATCGTTTTGGTTAATAATCGAGCTGGAATGCTGGTGCCTTGTCGAACGATTCTTGATTTTGCATCTCAGCTCAATTTCATAACGTCCCGTCTAACTGGCCATCTACAACTAAATCATCGTCATTCGCCCATTTCGATATCTGGCATCAGAGAATCGTCGCTCAGCTCTGATAAGGCAGTGGAAGTTGTTATGCAGTCTCAGGATGGTGAATACAAGTCTTCTTTCACGGCGGTTGTTACTAAGGTCATCACTGACTATCAGCCGCATTGCGACATTAATGCTGCTGGCTGGGATCTGCCTAAGAATATAATATATAATAAAATATATAATATATAAATATATAAAAAAAAATATAAATAAAAAAATATAATAAAAATATATAAATATATAAAATATATAAATATAATAATATACAATATACAATAATAATATATAAGGCAATTCGTGCAATGCACCAGCTATCGTACGACGAGGAGACATCATTTCCTATAGGAGCTCAAGTTGTAAGAAGGAATGTCTACGTGGACGATCTCATGTCTGGTGGTGACACAAATGAAGAGGTGAATGTGATCCAACAAGTAAAGGATCATAGAGGATCATTCCCATACGCAAATGGTGCTCCAATGAGCCTATGGTTCTTTATGAAGAGCCGGAGGAAGACAGGGAGCTTCTCAAGTCTCATGATGGAACGAACATAGCGAAGGCGTTGGGGCTTGTATGGAATCCTACTTCAGATAGCCTGTTGTTCAATTTTTCGCAAATTATGCCACTGCCTGAACCTTTGTCGCAGTGTGGTCAGACATGACATCTCAATTACGCATAATTCAGAACTGTAAATTTCCTCGTTTTGTCATGCTCCCGAACTCATCTCTCCAGTTGCACGCATTCTGTGACGCCAGCATGACCGCATATGGAGCTTGCGCTTGCATAAGATCGTACAGCCAAGGACTTACAACATCCCGCTTACACTGCTCAAAGTCCAATGTAGCGCCTTTAAAGACGCTAACCATACCCATGTTGGAACTGTCCGCTGCGTTGCTGTTGGCTGAGCTCGAAGTAAGCGTAAAAGAAAGCATCTCATTACCTTGCGATTTCCACTGTTGGTCGAATTCAACTATTGTGTTCTCTTGGATACGTAAAGCCCCATCAAATTTTAACGTTTTTGTCTCCATCAGAATTGCGCATATCCAGGAGTTGACAAGGGAAAGGGAGTGGAGGAGCTGGACGGAGGAACGCGTTTGCTTATTAAAAGTATCCAGCAAGTTCATTTCACTGAAGAGCTCAAGGCACTCATCGCCAGTGAAACACTTCCGGCCAGGAGCAAACTACTTTCGTTGCATCCACTGCTCGATGCTGATGGACTGCTTCGCGTAGGCGGGAGTCTTCAAAATTCGAACGTAGCATACGATGCAAAGCACCCTATATTTCTGCCGAAGTGTCATCCGATCACGAAGGCAATCAAACCGTTCTATTTCGAAAAATTCTTGCATGCTGGACCACAGGCCACAGCCTCGCTTCGTCAGAAGTATTGGCCTGTTGGAGGTCCAAAATTGGTGGCAAGCGTCGTAAGCAAATGCGTCCGTTGCTTCCGGACAAAGCCAAAGTTGGCTGAGTACGTAATGGGAGATTTGCCAACCGATCGTGTCCAACCGAACCCCGCATTTCACACAACTGGAATCGATTTTTGAGGGCCGTTTAAGTCGATGGCAGCAGGAGTCCCAGATGCAACAAAACTTTTGGCGAAAATGGAGCGTCGAATACTTGTCCTTGCTTCAAGAGAGGAGCAAGTGGAAAGCCACCACGGACAACATCAAAATTGGAAGCGTCGTTCTCATAAAGGAGGAAAACTTGTCACAACTCAAATGGCTTCTCGTTAGCGTCGAAGAGTCCATACCAGGCAAGGATGGAATCATCAGAGTCGTGCTGGTCGAACAGCGACGGGTCTTATGAAGATAGCCGTTGGAAAGCTAGCCGTCTTGCCCGTCGACCCTGGATCAATTGAAAGCCAGGCTCTTTTAACGGGGGGAGGATGTTCGGAGCAGACCGGCCTATAATTATAATACATAACATTAAGTAAATGCCACCGAGCATAATTGTTTGTTGTATTATGTTTTGTTATTGTCTATCGCTCTGTTAGCTCTCTCGCGCTAAAGCTGGCGCTTTTTCTGAGCTTTTGGCTACTGCTGCAGTTTCTGAGCGCAGATATAAGTAGTGCAGCTCCGACCACAAACAGAAATAAAACGTAAAACATATACGAGAAGGAACGTGCGAGTCGCTTCTGGGGACGCGACTCTACTTATACCCGTACTCAGTCAGTATATACATTTTTGAGCATATGATTTTTTTAAATTGTATAATAAAAAAAAATTTTACATGTTACAATTTTTTGCTACATCTGCTATCTACATATACTATGTATATATATTCTACATCTAACATGTAGATTGTATATGTTCCATTTAGATTCTATATCTCCTCCGCTAGGAGTTGCTAGCGCACTGAACGCGGCAGAGTGTGCCAGCGAGAAGAGAACGAGTAGCGGGTCTCTTGCTGTAGGAGGCGGGGGAAACAACTGAAAACTGATTTCTACATTCTGGCTATAATTATGATCCGATCTGATTCAGATTCGGAAATCTGGTAGATATTCTCTACGATACTGCGTTTTTAGTTTTATCGTATCTTTAAAATTGTGTATGCTACGGATTTTCGTTCTTTGTGGAAGCGGAACAGGGCGGGGCGAAATTTTGAAATACTCTTGTAGCAGTGTGATATCACATGAGCCTGGAAACCAAATTTGGTTGCGCTAGCTCTTATAGTCTCTAAGATCTAGGCGCTCATCAAGACGGACAGACAGACATGGCTATATCGACTCGGCTATTGATGCTGATCAAGAATATATATACTTTATGGGGTCACTTCCACTTTTACCACAAATCTAATATATCCCTTAACTCTTTTTTGAGTACGGGTATAATAAACAGCCAATTTCTTGTTTTGCTATATATTTGCGTCAAGGTACTTCGATTTCCTCCTCTAAACACACGTTTTTGCACCCTTCAGCAAAACATTTTTGTCTGGCCCCATTGACAGGAACAGCGGCTAACGACGGAACAGATAAATAACATCTTCGGAAGAACTGCAAAAAATGCAGTAGCACCAGTAACAGCATAATGAGATTAACCGCAAATCAACATTTTATAACAGAAGAGAAGAAGAGGAACAGTCGTTCGTAAAAGAAGAATCGCAGCAGTCAATCGGAATCTCAACAGTATCAGAAAAAATCAGCCGATATCTAGCCGTACCGCTTAGATTAATTGTTCTTATACTTTGCCAGTCTACCGCGATTTCATACAATAACAAAGCTGTTCGACTATGAAGCAACAAGACAAATTTAGAATCTTTTCTCATTGTATATCTGTCATACAGTTGATATTGGTCTTAAAATCTAGTTGGAATATGTAAAACCATAGCGGGACTATCCCAACTATATATCGATATACCGAAATAATATATTAGTCTTGACCTGATGCGATCTGTCTCGTCTCTTCTCTGTCCCTCTCCAGAAAATAAACAAACTGATGGTAACTAAGAAAGCACTACAATGATACACGACTTATTATTATCCTGCTTAACCCAAACTAAAAAAGGTTTGGGTATACAGACTTTTATGGTAAGAATAGGGTGCGCATCTACTTACATGTATATATTATACTGAACTATGTATTTACATACAAAGATAAAATATGTACGTTTACATTGATATGCACATATTTAACATGAACCTGTGTTTTAGGATAACAATGCAATTGACCACTTTATCCATCCTTGCGAAAGAGAACTATTTCTAGAAATTTTAAACATTATTAAAGTTCTTCACGAAGTCGTTCAGTTCACACTTTTATTGAGATTAAATGAAGATGAACGATGTAAAAAATTAATAATGAATGAAAATCAAAGCGTTAAAGGTAAGTTTAAATAAACTTGGAAGTGATTGTACCTTTTAATGATGTATAATATTATTGTAGACCTCCCACATGGTTTTTACTTAATCAATTTTGCCAAAGGCATCGACGCAGCGCTTGACGAATATTATGATGAAATCATACAGCTTGAAACAATTTGCTCAAAGAATAAGCCTAATTCGCTTGCATTTTTTCATGATGCTTTGCACGCTAAACTTCCAATTTTACTTTTTTTGCGAAAACTTATTTGCGAAATACGACTGCAAAAACTACATGGATGCATAATGCTCCATAGTCTGCATCAACATTCCGAGCATGGAGATTATCAACTAGAAAGAATTACCAAAATGCAAGTAATTTAAAATCCATTAAGGGTGTTTAATTTATTTATGTACATGTTTTATAGAGTCATAAAGCCAGTCAAATTTGAGTTTTTCTCAAGTCTGGCTCACTGGCTAATTTTTGGGGTAATCGATGATGTCCATTCAGAGTTTTTTATTAAATTCTCTTCACTCGATGCTTCGTCCCTGAATAGCTCTTTATCCAAATCATCAGTTAATAATACCCGACTGGTAAGCTTATACAAAAATTGAACAGACCTCCAATTCAAAATAAATATGCTTATCTTTAGAATGCAATTGGAAACTTTGAGGACTACATATGGCAATATGAAATCAATATGTGTCAAATGCCAGGATTTTTGTCTACTATCGTGGCTGAGAAAGTTCTATTCGTAGGACAAACCGTTCTTGTTTTCAAAATGGGACGTAGATTTCAAAGAAACAATATGAACAACCACTGGGCAAATAAACTTTCTGATAGTTCGCGCGATGATATTTACGAGCTGTGGAATGGCAAAGAATCTGTATTCCTTGGAATGGTAGAGGATCTGAACAATGATGAACAAATTGATGTTTTTCATATCGAAAGCGTCATAAACAACATAAAGAAATACGTTAGCATGCGTTTGTCTGAGATAGCCCTAAACGAGGTTGATTTAGAACGCCAAATGGGATTAATAAAGGACTTCTATTTGTTAGGGCGCGGAGAGTTTTACTTAGAGTTTTTATCTCAACTTACCCGCGCTTCAGATGTCTATTGTGATTCCAGCTCAAAAAATTACACGAGATCATTTGAGGTTCGTTAAAAATACTCCAAAATACATAAGTAGTTGTGCATATGCATACATTTATATTACTATATGTCTCTTGATTGCAGCTTGCTGCAACTGTCATGGGCATTACGGATGATTTGGAGAATTTCTCACTAACTGTTCAAAAAACTATCGAGGAGTCGGACGAAAACTGCGAATTTCGAATCTTGGAAAATCTTCATTTGAAATATATATATGAATGGCCATTGAATCTTTTGTTTTCGCCGAAGGCAATCGAGCGATATAACCAGATATTTCGATTTTTATTGATAATAAGAAAACTTCAGTACGACCTGCAACAAGTTTGGACAATACAGACATTGGCAGCAAAATCGAAGTCTGGACCCATAAACATGAGAATGATGAATCTCCTCAATCAACTCATGTTCTTTTTAAATAATATGCAGTATTACATTCAAGTGGATGTTCTTGAAAGTGAGTTTACTTAACACAATGCTTGATGACATGTATACTTCCATATTGACATCTATATTACATATTTTGTAGGTCAGTTCAGTATTCTGATAAATGCCATTAGGAACAAAGTCGATTTTGAAGAAATACAAAGGAAACATACAGTATTTCTAGCGAATGTCCTTTCCCAGTGTTTCCTGCTTTCTGGCTCAAATGATTCACTAATGAATTCTACACGAACAACATACCAACCCCAAAACCCCATTTATGGCAATATTCTTGAACTTTTTTATATATGTGAAAAATGTAGCTGTATCAGCGGGAAGCCAAACACATCAGAGGGATTTCTAAAGGAGCTCGATAATCTAGAGGAAAGGTCAGACCCTTGCCAACATGCATTGGCTACTTTTGTAGAATTTATATAGCCATTAAGTTTTATTAAAGTTTGAATATGATTGTACGGCTGTACATCATAATCAAGCAAATTTATACGTAATTTTCTTCAAAAGGCCTATTTCATTTGAATTTCTAAAAATGAATCATATAAAGTTTATTCTGGAGACGAATAGATGTCCGTCTGTCTGTTTTTTTACACCTAGACGTGACCCTCAGGCTGTTTGTTCATGAATCCTTAGCGACGTAAATAAACCTTATCGCTCGTGGTGGTTTTAGATGATTTCGATTTTCATTAAACGTGACAGTATGGCCACGATCAACATAATCCAAAAGCATATCCGTTTTTAATTTTTTTTTTCATTTTCATATTAAACAAAATACCAGTGATCACAAATAAGACAAATAAAAAAATACAGCTAAGCTATTTTAAAAAGAGGAATCTCGTAACAAGATAAACTTTTATTACCAATTTGTATAATACAAATTAAAACATTTTTATAATACAAATTAAAAGACTTATTTTTATTTAAAAAAAATATAAGTCATTTTGTGATTTTTATTATAAATATATAAAAATTGGTAATACAAATTGAATGCAAATATCTTTTGACCAGAGACCTCATTGAAAAAAAAAATATATATATGATCTACAGTTCAATACCTTTCGTTTGATACATAGTATGTTTGGTTACGCAACCAAATACTACGTCTATTAAGCATACATCATACACTACAGATTTGATATATACCGATTTTTAAGTATGTACAAAGCGCGTTTTTATTTTTTTCTACAATTCACTAATAATAGTAATATTACTACTTTATATTTTTAGGTTTGGCGTCCAAATTGCGAGTCTTATTCAATTACTGCTGAACATTAAAACAGCATCTTGTTTGGGTCCGCTTTCTCAGCTTTTATTGCGATTGGATTTTAATCATTGGTTTAGTTCCACCCATAACATTTAATAAGCTAAACATTGAAATATGTACTATATATAAGAGTCTAAAGTTGTAAACGTTTTATATCTTCTATACGAAAATCGATTCTGAAAAAATATAAAAATTGTTTATTTTATATGCACATACAATTATTGTACAATTTACCTCAGGGCTAAAATAGCACGGACTTCGTTTGGAGTTAAATGCCATGACGGCATTTCTTTATTATTATCGGGACTCCAAAATTCAGAGAGCTCCGAAACCTTGTCCAGATTTAAGACAGTGGCGATTTGAGAAATTCGCGTCATCTTGTCTCGCACAGACCATGATGTCGCTCCTGTCAAATAAGTCCCCAAGGCACGAACTTCCTGATCGAGAACGAGGCCACCAAGCTTTTAATTGAGAGTTAAGTTTAAATAGAATGAGGCCCAAATTTGACAAAACTAATATACAAAAAATTACCCTGTTAAAACTGCATTTTAAAGTAGCCCTTTCCAATTGAATTGTGACTTCCGTTGCCAATATGCTAACAAGCGCATCGTAATTGCGTGGACTCAATGCCATTTTGAAAGAATTTAGGAGTCCATCCAGATGGACGATAAAAAACTGGACAAAAGTTTCTTCAGCTTCATAAATGGCAAGTTCCTCCTAAAATTACGTATCAAATTAAGAATATCGCTTTTCATATGGGTATGTGCTTTGTTAACCACTTTTTCAAACTTGCCTCTGTAAGGTTGTGGCTATAGCTTAAAAATTTGTTTATCCAAGGATTTATTCGTGGCTTAATTGCGCTGGATCTAAGTTGCTGCATTCCAAAATCCACAGTGGCCTTTAAAGCGTCTCGAACAGTCTTAAGTTCTGTCAAGCAGCTGTCAAGCAATTGTCGCTCAACCGAGGTCGTGCACGGAAAAGTTCCAGCGATTTCCTGTTCCATGGTCTGGCACAGAGTTTCGATATATTCAGTCGACATGTCAGCATTGTTCAGTTGTACTAGAAAATTAGTTCGGCTTCGATCAGCATCACTCGAATGTAGTTTCCCTTGCTGCAACGTGGTTTGTATTGCGTTATATGCTTGAGCCAAGTCGATATATCCAGACGGATAACCACTTTTCAATGGAGTTTTGAGCGCATCTATAAAATCACCATCTAGACAAGCAGCTACGATATTAATAACAGCACATGTTCCGTTTATTGATTGCGTTGTCAAAGCACGACGAATGGATTTTCGAAGTATGAAAAAAACATCATCTACTATAGATGAACATTGCTGCCCCGCTTCATATTTGTCGAGGCCGATGGCTTTAAGTACGCTTTCCTCCATGAAGTATCTACAAAATCATTTAAAAAGCATGTATACGTTTTTTAGTAAATACAAAGAGAAAAACGTTAAGTCTACCTCTCAAAAAGCAAATAAGTGCTCAAAATTTCTTGCATTTGTCGACGAAGGTCCGAATTCTTTACAATCCTTTCATATCGGTTTATAATATTGACCTGGTCTTCTTTTACGGGGACACATGTATCTACATGAATCTGAAATCAAGGTTGTTCAGTATAAGCTAAAATTCAAGATTGGAATTGAAGCAGTTCTTACTTGCATTCGCCGACGCATAAAACGGAAGTACAACTCTACTCGCGAATGCATGACCGTTATTTCAGCTATAATAGCATCAATTTCTTTCGGGTTTAGTTTGTCTAATGATCCACCTGAGGGCTTACGATAATGACCCAAAGAAGGTATACTGTTGCTGCCGGTAGCTCCATTGCTAGACCTTTGAGTGCATTCATATACTTGTTTGCTGCGATACACAATTTGTCTATTCTTGTTAAATTCGAACAATAAATTCTTTGCCTCGGCATCACATTCATCTTGCAAAATGGCGATCATATCAATTAGAGACGCGGATCTAGTGGTAAAGATAAATGCATATAAGACGCAGTTACGATATTAAATCGAATTGATACATACGCCTGTCCATAAAATGCTTCAACAATAGGCTGATTAACTTCCACTACCCGTGCAAAGTTCTCTAAAATCGAAGTCAATCGATCGGCATATGCTAGTTGCAAACGACATTCAGCTTTGGCTATATCTTGTACATTTCTTAGTTCTTTTTGGGCTTTATCCGATAGCTTCTGACAAATGTAAGCAGAAAATTTTTCTATACCGATTCGATGGTAGCCAACTAATGGAAAGATTTTGAAAAATCTTTCCACCGAAGCCAAATCATTGTTTTTAACAGCATCATCAAAACGTCTAGATATAAGCTCTCGAATTTTTTCAGTCGCATCCTCAAGTGTTTGAACCGCGTCGCTGACTGATGTTATCGAGACATCATCCGCAGTTCGATGCAATAATTGCTGATCCATAGCCAGAAACCGTGCAACATGGGCAGCCCCTTTTTCGAACTCCTCGTCGCTTACAGCTTTTACTACGCCCTGGCTACATAGTTGTAGATCAATTAAATCGTGTACACGCTGTTGACATTCAGATGCACGGCAGCGGGCCAAATCTAAGCGACGCACTTTAGCACTTACAGATTCAGCCAATTGTGCAGTATTTACAATTTGCATGTTTAACTTTGTAGAATCAGAGTGTACGGCGTGCAGTAAAACCATCGCTCTTCCGATTCCACTCATTTTGGCTTCAATCTGACATTGTTTATCCAGCAATATTTCGAGTTTGATATTGACTTTTTCCTAAACAATGAAAGTATGAATTCATTAATTTTAATAGCTCTGATAACAATAATTCACACACCTCTTGTTCAGCAATACGTAGTAGTCCCTGATCACTTGTGCTGCCGTCAAATAGCATTTTGAACATCTATCGATAATGCATCAGTCTATAAACTATGCGATTCAAAAACTGATCTGCCGGTAAACATATATAAATATAAAGATTAAAAATTAACTGTTTTTTTGTACATACGTGGAACAAAAATTAGTATTTTGATAATGTATCAATACATCGATATCACTATTACATCCAGTATAAACAAATAATTGTGGGATTCCTGAAACAGATTGCGATATATAGCATAGTACCACTAATAGCCTTTTCACACCGGCGACCATCCACCATCCATATCTCGGATGGTCCGTAATAGCCTTTTCACACTGGGGACCATCCACCATCCATTTCTGGGATGGTCCGTAAGGTTTTGCCGTTCCGAAAATTTCCCAGTTATTCCACCATCCATCTGGGATGTTCCTAATTCTCACGTTTCAGTGCGGTATTTTTTCGATAATTGTCAAATGCAACCATATTTCACAACAAAAAATCGGAGATCACTACGAAAATGTAAACAATGACAGACAGGAAAATATAAAAATAAAACAAAATAACCCCGTCAGATCTCACAAAGCACGCAAAAAATAAAAAAAATATCAAATTTCAGCTGCAGGTGATTTTATTTCGATGTGACATCCATCTAACATAAAAATTAAGTGATGAAATTAATTTACATATATGTATATACATATATTATGGATGATTTTATTGCATTATTACCAATTGCACCAGGCACTGAGGAAACCCAATTTCTTCAAATGCTTGAACACACTCGTCAATTTTCTCTGAAGTGAGATAGTTTTTGGACATGTATTCCTCTGAGAATTCGTTGATGAATGCTCTGCAAAATTCATGCAGGATATTGCAGACGCTGTTGGCTGACACTCCGAAAAACACTCTTCTCAGAAGAAGATCCCAAAGTATATAAAGATATGGCGATACGCTTCTCCAGAGGAATTGCAGCTCGGCAGTTTGTGTCCTTCTTCCGTAGCACTTCCAAGCGAGTAACCAACAGAGAAAAGCAGGATCTCTCCATCCTAAAACTTTCCTTAAAAAACGCCTCGTTGTTTTCGGGTACATCCTTCTCCCAAAATGTACCGAACCGCTTCTGAAAAACATAACATATATATTTGTACTTTAAACATTGGTTGCATTTATTAGAAGCACTCACAAATGACCACAACCTTCCGGGCTTCAGTGTTTTCAAAACAGATATCCATTCTATTATCTCCTCCTCGTCAAAGTTATCCTCATCATCATCGTCCATGTCCAACAACATGATAAGCTTGTGCAAGAATATGTTTTGCTGCTGAATCACATTCACGACCATTGAAATGTTATTTATATTCATTTTAATTAAAGTAAACAAATTTTCACCGCACGCAATTGTGAGCAACAGCTGTTTCTCATGGATGGTGGATGGTGTCAATGTGAATCGGTGTTTCACATCTTTCAAAAATTCCCACCGTTCCCCCAGGATGGACTCAGTGTGCAGAGAGTATAAGGTTTTGCCGCTCCGAAAATTTCCCAGTTATTCCACCATCCTTCTGGGATGTTCCCTGGAAGGTTCTTGGGGCAATGCATATAAAACCATATATATTTAACATATAATGTCCTCTGCACACTGAGCCCACCCCGGGGGAATGGTGAATATTTTTTAAAGATGTGAAACACCGATTCACACATCTATCGACATGTCTTTTTTCCAAACCGAGTACCGGTCTGCGAAAAGCCTGCTGCTAAATTTTCGTTCAAAAAAAAACAGGGATGATATCTTATCGTTTCCATACGAATATCATCCCTGATTTGGTCGAGTACTAGGCTTCAAACGGTAACAGCATGCTCGTCCACTATTAAACGGTAACAGCTGTTTTCTTTTACAAATCAATTCTGTTAAATGTAATCTGTAAAGCATTTTTGATTATTGGTTTGGTCTCCCAGCCTAGCAGTATACAGTATGTATAGATCACAGCCAGTGGTGCAGCCTTAAAGTAAATCATGTTATTGGTTCGTTGTTTGCACTGCCCACTGTACCTAATAGTAATCTACATGTATATGCCCCCTCACTGTAATAGCCTATTCAACCGTTCTTTCGTCTCTTCGTCTCGGACATGTCTCCTTTATTGCTATCAGTCTCGCTCTCTCGATCATTCTCGCTCTGTCGTTCTCTCGATCATTCTCGCTCTCTCGTTCTCTCGATCATTCTCGCTCTCTCGATAACTCTCTCGCTCTTTATTCGCAGCATCGCTTATAGCCGTATGCCATTTGCTGAGTAGAGAGGGATAGCAATAGAGACTAAATGCAACATCATTGTTCGTAGCCGTCTCTAGACACGTCTAATGGCTTTTAGTAGACCAACTGAGGCACTACGTGACACACATTGATGTTTTCCAGCAGAACACAGATACCAAGCCAGCAAAATTGTATCCGCAAAGTAAAATGTTCGATAAATTCTGGCGCAGCGCTGCACGCAGCTCAACTGGACAGCCAGCTTGAATCATATAGTTCACTCGCTCTGACTGCAGGCATTTCCCATAAGGCCATCTTTATTTTTCCAGCTAGTCAGTTAGCAAAGTCTAATGTCATATGGCTATTAGGGCAGTGTTCCGAAAAACGGTGCCGCGGAAAAAGTCAAGAAATTTGAATACAGAGAATATAGTTAATTTATAATTCAACCAGTCAATCACAACTCTTGTACGAATAATAACTAAGAGTTTATTTTGAATACAAATTATATTAAGAACATGACTATTTATTTAAGAATAATATTTATTAGGGTATTCATGTCAATAAGTACCCTGTAGTACTGGCGGTGGCGATTGACCCTGACGAACTACCTACTTCATTGGTCCGTACATGGGTACCCACCGAAGTAAGTAGGCGAACGTTGAACCACTCAAAAAGTAGAAAATAATTTTACTCTGTATACTTTACAACCCACCGCGTACCACACAGCGAACTAGTTCGATGGGCTGCAACGTCTCACCAGTAGACGAAAAAAAACGAAAAAAAAAGAAGAAAGAAAGAAGCCAAATATGAAGCTGCGGTGCGTCTACGGAGCAGAGCGCTGCTACGTTTTCGGTTTTTGAAATAGCATTGCTGGAATGTTCTATTGCTTTCGGCTTGATGAGACGCGCTTGAGAGTTCCAGTGAAAATAAGTGAACATTAATCAATTCAATTATTTAAACAAAGGTAGGACAAAGCAACCTAAGTTAAAAAGGTATTTAAAAATTTTTTTTAAATATTCTTGCTAATACCATTGTGTTATCCTATAAAGTGGATGAAGTGAAAGCCAAGTTGGCGCTGAAAGATCTTAAGAATAAAAGCAACAGTATAATTTATACTAATAACTGAAAATACTGAAATTTAAAAACAAGGAAACTTGAAATATAAAATAGATGAAATTGTTAACTGCACGAGTTTTTCTAAGTGTGGGTATGGGTACCCATTTCATTACCCCTTAGATGTGTACCCATTTCCCTACCTACCAGATGGGTACCCATTTCACTTGCTACCAGGTGGGTACCAATTTCACTACCCATTGTATGGGTACCCAAATCGCCAATCACCAGAAGACCCAGAACCACCCATTTTACTAGTTCGGGGGTAAACGATGTGGTGTCGCTGGTCCCCATGCCCTAGGACATTGCGGGTAAAAGTGGAAATGAAGAATAGCATTGCTTAAGGTTTGTCTAGTGGGTAGTGGTGGTCTGTTAGGGACGGGTCATATCACAACCTCAGACTAGTGCCCAGTACTACAGGGATAATACTAAGAAATTTAATATTAATATTAATATTGCAATTGCGTGCTCAAACATATAAGCGAATTCTATATGTTTTCAGATTTGTACTCAGTCTTGAACTCGTGCGAGCAAAAAGCGTGGATTTCGTCGCATATTAATCGTAACAGACTTTTTAATGAAAAAAAAATAGGCAATAATACTTTTATATAATGGAAAAATTTGTTAAATGTACCGCAAGTTTGTCGAGTGAAACTAATATATTGCCAGAAGAAGAAGAGTCAACGAAAAAAAAACCTAAGATTGTTTATCGAAAATATGATGAGAACTATGTCACCTATGGCTTTATATCAGCGGTGCGCAAAGTCAGCTTACGGCATGGCACTCACCAATTCTCCCAAACAAAAACACAAATACGAATAAGGGAACAGTGAAATCTCGAAGAAAAGACAAAAACAAAATCATAACAAAAGTCGGGTAACACCAATCAGAGAAGAGACAAAACCGGTTTATCTGGACGGATCGGATCGCATACACACAAAGTTGTTTGCATGTGTTGGGGTTTCGGTATGCTCCCTGCAGTTCCAATAGTCCCTTTTCACTCGTGATTCATTCGGTGAATAACTCATGGCATGTCTTTAGCCACTGGTGACTCACTGGTGAAAGTTCAGATGAAATTTGTATGGGCATGTCCGCATTCGTCACTCGTGAAACTTCATATGAAATTGTCACTGAATTTTCTAGTGATTTGGGTGAAATCACCCAAGACATGCCACAAGTGATTTCACTCGTGACATGCCACTCAGGACTCTTCCGAAAATGTCCTATATGAAATCACCTGTGAAACTTCTGATGAAATTAAAAGGAATTGCACGGATAATTTCATATGAAAAAGCAACCCACAAAAATTTTTTTCAAATAAAAGTAAATATATTTATTTTACACCGATTTTCTAGATTTGTTGTTGATTTAAATATTTTTAATTATCTGTAGGGCCTGATCGGGTTAAGAAGCAGCAATGCTCCTGAAATGAAATAGTCGGGCGGGGCATTAAACATTTTTTTGCCGCAAATCCCGGCACTCCTGGACTACTGTTTCGTCCAGCACACTTTTGAGGCACCTAGACAATGGGTCCTTCTCCAGCAACTTCCGAACTTTTTTGATCTGTAAATAAATAAGTCAAATTGCATATATATTTTGTATTAAATTAAAAATCCAGTATTTACAGTTACATGGGTTTCCTAGAGCGAAAAAAAACAAGCGCAGCGACACAATCGGTTAACCACGCGGCTAGAATGTTCTAGAATCTAGACATATTTTTTCTAGCGAAATCCATGTAACAATTTAATTTAACTAACAACGCACACTGTAATCACTGAATCCACTTACCTGATTTAAAAACACTGAAAAGGGGCGAAATTTTGAAATACACTTGTAGCAGTGTGATATCACATGAGTCTGGAAACAAAATTTGGTTTCTCTAGCTTTTATAGTCTCTGAG